TTTTTTTTAATTTAAAAAGCTATTGAAATTTAAGAGGACAGAAATGGAAATAAAACAAATAACTACTGTTTTATAAAATGGATTATACATTTACCCAATTTAATACAACAGACCGTTTATTAAGAATGTAGAACACAGTGATAAAAAGAACTTAGTTCTTAAGGAGTTTATAAATTAAAGTTAGATATAAAAATAAACTAGATTTTCAATATAAAGCAGAATTAAATGAATTCTGTCATAGAAATTGAAACAAGAAACAATAGGAAATAAATAGGACAGTTGTAAGACTTCAGGAAAAGGAACTGGCATGGAGCTGAATTGGATGTCAGTGAGTGTGTGTGTTGGGAAGCATGGTAATGCTTGCTAGGCTCAGGCACTGAGAACTAGTCCAGCATGCCTGTAGCATAGAATACACAGAATTGTGGTGGAGAAACAAGGTCAGGGAGATGGTATGGAGTCAGATTGGGACTCATGCCTAGAATTTTCGGTTAAATCCATAGATCATAGGAAACAATTAAATATATTTGGTGAGCATGCTGGAAAGGCCAAGGAAGAAGGATCAAGAGTCAGCCAAGTAATTGTTCCATTCACTTTGAAATTACAAAAGAGTTGATTCATCAGCAAAGATGTACTCTAAAAAAGATGTAGTCTCTAAAATGAGCATATACATAGCAATCGATGCTTCCTGGAATGTTCAACCACAATTGACTGGACCCCTGGGAAGCTACAGGCCACACCCAGGGGCTGATCCATCATGAAATTTCTTCAGAGCTAACATTATTGTGCAAATATGTGATATTAACCTAGATCAGTATTATGTTTCAGCACTCATCAATAAAGATACTCTTGTGGACAAAATCATATTTATTATTTATGTATTTATTTAGAGACAAAGTCTCAGCTCACCACAACCTCCACCTCCTGGGTTCAAGTTATTCTCTTGCCTCAGCCTCCTGAGTAGCTGGGATTACAGGCATGCATCATCACACCCAGCTAATTTCTGTATTTTTAGTAGAGATGGGATTTCACCATGTTGGTCAGGCTGGTCTTAAACTCCTGACCTCATGGTCTGCCCACCTTGGCCTCCAAAAGTGCAGGAATTACAGGTATGAGCCACTGCACCGGGCCACAAAACCATAACTAATGAGGGGTATGATATAATTGATGTTTTAGAGGAAATAATTTGATTATGACAGCCTAAACAATGTGAGTTACTAAAATTAAAAAGTAATTGAGGTGTTTTGTAATAGCCCAAATGAAAAGTTTGAAGATTCTAAACTAGGATTGTAGTTCAGAATGAATGAAAAGGGCTCCAGTATGATAGATACATGGCCGGGCGGTGGGTGGGGGGTGTGGGGTGCTCTATCAATCAGGAGCTGATGGAACTTTAATGGATTATTCAGAAATATATTTTAGGGTACGTGTAAAATGTGATTTGCATTAATGGTCTATGTAGTTCATGAGAGTCGGATATTTCTTACATATTAATACATGATGCTGACCTAAACACACTAGATTTACCTAATTGTACCTCTGCCTCCGCTCATCTTTTGCCTTATCAAGAACTAGGCTCAAGTAAGGGTTCTATGCCCCTCACTTTTTGTTCTGATTTGAAAAAAAATTTAATGCAAATAATTACTTTGAAGTCAAAACAAATACTTTAAAAAGGATTTAGGAACCCAGGCAGTAAAGGTAAGTTTTGTCTGCTTATGAATAGAGATTTTTTTGGTTATTGTTTAGCCTAATTTCAGGATCACATTTACAGGGGTATTTGTGAGGACAATAGACTTCGGCGATTCCTATTCTACCCCCAAATAGAGCACGAAGACTTCTCTTTGGTTGTGTTTTTATTTTGTTTATGTACTTGTTTACCATTTTATAGGATGATAGTTATTTGCTTTTGTCTTGGTCAAAGTTTTCAGAGGGGAGAGCAACATTTTTCAGTTTGGGTTGTAATAATTATTCACAAAGGTGTCCGTGTCTGTGTATGTGTGTGTGTGTGTGTGTCCATGAGTGTGCACATTGCACGGGCCTACATAGACACTTGTCAACTTAAGAACATGATTTGCTGTTTCTATACTTGGCAACATTTCTCTTCTTTGCTGAGAGTGTGGATTTCACTCCACCTATTAGGATTAGTATAATGCACAAAGTCTCACAGATTAAATGTCTGAATGCCTCAGATAATTATGTCCCCATCTGAACAATTCAAAGTTGGTCACTTTTAACCACAGATCCTTACAGTAACCTTGCAAGGACACGGAGTTTAGACTCCAAGCAATTTTCTGCTTGCGAATTTTGGCAGTGGTTACAAGCCTAGTGATAGTCCCAGCTGGGAGAAAATTGCCAGCGATGGGAAGAAGAATAAAGTTGAGGACTCCTGAAACGGGATGTTTGTGCTGTGTGTGTGGTAGGGGGTGGGGGGATGAGGCACAGGTAGGTAGTAGAAGAGAAAGAATTTGACTGTTGAGTGATTGGAAAAGCAAACAGTGTGAAGCTTTTACTTTTAAGTTCTGATGCTGTTAGTAATGGAGAACAACTGAGAAGCCCGTAATGTTCAATAAAACGCAGCATCAGAGCTCAGGTCGAACTTCACAGTCAGGGCTTACTGTGTGATTTTTATTGTAAATGAATTTATTTTATTTCTCGTACTTGGAATACCATAGGAACATTGTATCACCATGCCACGAAAACAGAGATCAGTTGGCAGGAATTAGGTAAATGAATCATAAAGTGAAAGTTCTTAATGTAATTTCAGTGTAGAAAAGCTTTGATTAAAGACATGATCCATGTATAACTGGTATTTCTTGTGCTCTTCTCGATATTCTGACGTTTCCTGCCACTGTCAGCAGTAACTCATAGATAAGTTGCCACCAGGTGCCACTCCAGAGGAGCACAGAGGAAGGTGACGGAGCATTAGGAGAGCTGCTTTGAACTTTTAGGTGGTCCGGGGACTGGAAGCTTAAAAACAACATATTTTCATCCATCATCTGCACTGGTCCTGGGAGTCAAGTGTTTTGCTATGTATTGTTGACTGTGGTGGAGTTTATTGTTATGTAATGGCAAGAAGGGACGCTTCTGGTAAATCATAAAATGCTCAGATGGAAACCATCTCGAAGCACTGAGGTTCTTGAAGGTCTGGGGGATGATCAGGTGGGGTTGGTTGCACATTCCTTTCTTTCCTTAAGTTCTCCTTTGCATCAGCACTTGAAGACCCTAGCACACAGCGCAGCAGTTCTGTCCTGGAGGGTGGATCTCTTTAGAGGGACTGGGAATGTGGGCTTTAAACCAGGCTGCCAGTTTTCATAAGCCTGGCTCTGCCAGAGAGTTGGCTGGGCCACTTCAGGCAAGGTTCTTAGCCTTTCTCTACCTCAGTTTCCTCATTTGCTAATAGGATTAAGGGCAGATGTGAATATTGAATGACTTACTATGTAAAGAATGTTTTACCCATGTAACGAACCTTCAAATCTTCACGTGTACCTCTGAACCTGAAATAAAGTTTTGTTTTTAAAAGAATGTTAAGCATAGTGACTGACATCTAGGAAGTTCTTAATAATTCAAACTATAATAATTCTCATGTTTCACCCTTTGTATTATAAATTAGGGGGAGATACATATATAATAGTAACCCTAAAAAGGACTTAAGAAAGCTAAATAATTCACAATAGCTCAAGAACACACCTTTTCCCTGAATAAACATGTGGAATAGGATCCACTAGACAATTTCACACTGAAAAAAAATTAAATTATAACTTGTGCCAGAGATTAATTTTTTTGTATTACTTAGGCCTGACTAAAAACTACAGAAACCAAAAGTTAAATGAGGTATTCAAGTACTTGGAAGCAGAGGATAAACACAGATGTTAAGTGCAGTGGAAGAGTCACTTACAGAAATTCAAGGTGTAAAAGGCTATGTCCGTAACAGCTACCAAGGAAGGATGAGAATGCACTGTGCCCATACTTTCCTCGGTGTTTTTTTCCCCATATTTTATATATTTTTAGCACCTTGTCTTTTAAAAATGCAAATATAGTTCAGTAGGGCAGTGAAAAGCTTTATTGTTTGGTAAATTGGGTTTTTACATTCGTATTAACTAAAGTCCAGAATGATGGCAGTTATAGAGGGCGAAAGATTGTTGAAATGACAGATTGAGTAGTGTGTTTCTCAGGTGATGAAGTTCAGGGAAATGTGTAATTACGTCTGAGTTTCCTGAGGTTCCTCTGTTCAACATAATGTTCTGACATACAGCAGGGACAGTTCCAGATAGGAAATGCAAATCGGGATTTGCTGCCCCTGCTGCTGATGCTGTGCTTAATCATGCAAATCTAATGCAGTTCTTGGTATTTCAAGAAAGGTTTTAGTTGAAGTCCCATGCACGTATTGATTTAAAATTCCTACTTTAAAGAGCAGTGCCATTTTTTTCAGCTCCAAATTTTAAAATATGGGATGGGATCTGGAGACAGACTTAGAGACTGGACATCCAGCCAGACTTGTTAATCACAGAAAGGAGTGGGAGGAGTGGGGACAGGGCAGGGAGGAGGAAGAAAAGGACACCCTTAAAGAATGTGGGGGTGTCTAAGAATATTAAATGGCATATTAGAACTAGATTTACAAGTGTTCTACAGAAAGTTTCTTTGCTTGGAATAGATCAATCAATTATACACGTTTATTGAGTGCCTGCTGTGTTCAAAGAAGGTGGCTAACACTGGCAAGAACAGATCAAATCAAAAGTAACACTACAAACAGCTCCCAACTTTGGGAATGATATAAAATACCTTTGGAAATGAGACTGTTTACAGGCAGAAATGAAATTGTCTTGCTCACAAGTACCAGCTGACACATTCTAATAGCCTTTCTGCTGTGCACAATAAGCATTCAGCTTATCTTTCCAAGAACAATAACATTTCATGTACTGCTGCCTGACATAAGAATTATTTTTACATATCTCCATATCGCCGACTCTCTTGTAAGTTAATCTCATCTCACATGAATTTTTCACCAGCTCCACTCTGATGTTGATAAAGGAGATGGTTCCATCAAATACATCTTGTCAGGCGAAGGGGCAAGTTCCATTTTCATTATTGATGAGAACACTGGGGATATTCATGCCACCAAGAGACTGGATCGTGAGGAGCAGGCCTACTACACGCTCCGAGCTCAAGCACTTGACAGGCTCACCAACAAACCCGTGGAGCCCGAGTCGGAGTTTGTCATCAAAATTCAGGATATCAACGACAATGAACCCAAATTTTTGGATGGCCCATACACAGCAGGAGTTCCTGAAATGTCTCCTGTGGGTAAGTAAAGAGCACTCTGCTTTTGTAGCTTGTGGCTGATTTGGGAGGTTTGTATTTAAAATTAAATCATCATTAAATACTGAAAAAAAAACCGAACACCAAAAAAACACTAGTATGTGTGTAGCAACTGTCCGTTAGGGTTTAGGGAACGTTTGAGACATGTTGGTAGCCAGTATCCATCAACTTAACAGTATTTATTTGTATGGACAATTAGGAAATTGTTTTTATGTATACAGCTATTTCAGTGTTTTCAGGAAATTACTTTAATCTTACATTTTTTTCAACTTGATATTTATTTATATTTTTAAGTGATTACAGTGAATCCTCAGAAGTTAACAAACAGAATTCTTCCAGACACAGGCCAGTGATGATCTTTTACTTTTTTTTCCCATCATATTAAGATACTGATTCATTATCCTAAACACCTCTCTGGGGCCAATGTATCAATAAGACCGTTGATGGCTAGCCAGGCTAATATGTGGACTGGCTGGTCTATTTAATTGTAATGAGTATCCTTGGACCTACAAATGGCCATCCACATGTCACCACTGTTTTTTTTTTTTTTTTAATTTTACGTTTAGGGATACATGTGCAGGATGTGCATGTTAGATGGGTAAACCTGTACCATGGTGGTTTGCTGCACAGATTATCTCATCACCTATTAAGCCCAGCATCCCTAAGCTGTTTTTCCTGATGTTCTCCCTCCTCCCCTAACCCTCCGACAGGCCCCAGTGTGTGTCGTTCCCTGCCATGTGTCCATGCCACCCCGCATTTTCAAAAATTTCTCCAAACACTTAAATGCGTGAAAATTTGTAGTGAATTTATAGCAATGGTAAGGAGATAACATTTGGAGATATATATTTAAAAAGTGAAGGCTTTTTTTATTTAAAGGCCTTTTGTCATTGCACCATTACTAGAAAGATGGCAAGTAAAGAATTCTAGTGTGTATTTTATTTTTATCTAATAATAGAAATTCTTTTTTTTTAAATTTCATTTATCCAGATACTTTTGGAATAGTTGATAGCCAGTATGTAATTTAAGTGTAGGCAATCTTACGAAAAATAAAAATAAAAATATATGAAACTGGATGAGAGATGGATTGATTTATACATTTATTTCCTGCTTTTTCTAATACTGAAATAGGAAATTTATATAAAATAATAATGGAAGTTATATTTTAGCACATGAGGATTTTAACCAATGTGATTTATTTAAAAAGAAGGTCATTCATGCAATCAGCATTACCAAGACACGGAGGATTGGGGTTGCAAGATGTGTATCGTGTGCTCTTTAGGGGATCACATTTCAGTGGCCCTAAATTTCTGTTCCTATTAGAAGAGAGAGGGGAAATTATTTGGGTCACTACCATAGCTCTAACCTCTAGAGGAAAAGCAAATGATGAGACAGAAGATCAGTCCTTGTGGACGGTAAGAATTTGAACCACAGTGGCACTATCTTACTATAGTTAGCACATGTGTAAGCATTGCTGGCATTTCTGTGACCAAATAGATGTATTCACACTTCCTCACTACTGTCCACACCTTCCAAGTGCTTCCTGCTGCTCTTTGCTTACCAATAAGAGCAGCAGGCATGGTAACTGTTAGAAGGTTTTGGAGGATTTTGAAAAAAGAAAGGGCCTATTTTCCTCCCCAAATTAGTAATGTTTAGTAAAACAGGAATTTTTGAGACGTGTTTGAGCAATTCAATTCAACTTCATACTCCAATTCTCATGGACATTTGGTGGTTTTTCGTTGGTTCACTAAGGTTTTCCTTTCCTACATAGAATATAGCTATGCAAATTGGGTACATGTGAACTTTTGTTTTAGAAGCTAATAGTACACCGTCATTTTGATTTTGATAGTACTGTGACATCAAACGGCATGACTATTATGCACACTTAAATAACGTATGTTGCAAATAAAATAACAGGTTATTTACATGTACACAATAGTCATGCCATTTCATATTACAGTACTTAAATAATTTATATTTAAATTATTTTCTTAGCTGATTCAAATGGGATCGGAACTTTTTTAGAAAATTATTTTCAGATGTCTTCAGGGTGTACTTGACGCCTAATCAGACCACTAAGTTAATATAAAAACTGGAACATAGAACATGGAGTATCTAAACTGCATAACACATATTGTATGAACTTACAGTTTATCAGACACTATAGTTAAATTGCTTAAGCCTAACCATGTGTAGTAGCCATCAAACAGTTGAAATATACCATGCAAGCTATCGGTGTTTAATATTCAGGGATATTTTATTTTATTGGATGTTAACTAATCATAAAATTTTAAAAACACTAGTAAACCTTTAGGATACTTTATTGCCAGAAGAACATAGACAGGCATGGAAAGTTTAAATTTGTTTGTGAATATGTGTGTGTATTTAGTGTGTGTGTCTATATACGTTAAATGAGATAATAAACTTTTCAGAAAAAAAACCTGTTTTATTGTCCACAGCCAAACTTACTGAAGTTTAGTTTTTATTACTTGCTTTAAAATTGTTTACTTTCTTTTAAAATGAAGTAGCAAAATCATATTTAGTCATAGTACCAAAATAAATATTGTAAGGGTGATGCAGATAGAAGAAAGAGAGACCATAATGTAATTTATTATAACATTAAAAACATTCAAACTTTAATTCTTAAAAAGATTTTAGAATATGCATGATTTGCCGTCTTGGCCCTATCAGATATCCACAGAGCACAGTCATCTCAGTCCATAAAATTAAAAACTTCAGGATTTTAAGGATAGTGTTGTACACTTAACTTTCATAATTTCTACATAATTTTAAAGCAAGGAAATAGATATAGAAAATAAAGTAGATTTATAGCAAAATGTGCATTACTGACTTAAGAGATTTAGAAAGAGATATTTACATAGAAATAAATCTAAAAAATATGTTTGCTTTAAAATGTCATATTCAGGAAATAATTTAAAACAAACTAGGACTTTAAAGAATACATAAAGAAAGGGACTTGTTCCGTATTTAAAATATAGGTTAATTACTAAATAATAGTATATAATTTAATATATAAACTAGGCAAACATGGGCCTCTAATATTTTAAAGATTACATTCCAAATGGAAAAAAATAACAGATTGGAAGAAATGCTTTCTATATTTAATGTGTGAATATATAGTAAATGAAGAAAGAATACAACATTTCATCATATGTAATAAAGAAAAAAATATTGATACACTTTTTAAAGTTGCCATGGTTTTTCTCTTTTGGAAGGGGTTTGGTATAAATTTTCATTTTCTGTCTTGTTTTTAAATCAAATGCTGGAAACAATAAAACAATTCTCAAGGAGATAGGGTAGCCACATTTGATCCAGTGAGGTGGATCAAATCTTCTTTGTCATTTAATGACATTTTGATGTCTGTCTGGGTCTTCCTAACTATGACAGTTGGATACCCGCAATAACTGGACTGTCCAAGATGCTACTGTCCTGCTGCTTTCCGGACAGTGATTGAGTCTGCTAGAAGCTGCGTTTGATGAAAAGGTATTACCTGAGCCCCATGGAAGAGACGCCTAAAATTTCAGTCCCATCTGATTTGGACTATATCCCAGCCTAATGGGCATCATTGATGGTATTTTTGCCAGAATGTTTTCTTATCCCTTAAATATTTCAAAGGTTTTGTTAATATTTATCATCTCTTTAGGGTTGGTTTATTAAAAAATACTGTATCAATTTTTTATGTGCCTTGAAAAAAGATAAATGAAAAATTTCAAATAAGTTTAATGTGGAATCAGTAACATTTTTGAGTTATTTTGTTTTGTGGCATTTGGAAGTTTTTAATTCAGTGGTTTTTGGATTGGCATCTAGGGACCTCAGTTGTACAAGTGACAGCCACAGATGCTGATGATCCTACGTATGGCAACAGTGCCAGAGTGGTCTACAGTATTCTGCAAGGACAGCCATACTTCTCAGTGGAGCCAAAGACAGGTAAAAATTGAAATGTGACATTCTTGTAAAGCATAATTTATACGTTGCTTAGAATTAATATAAGTTATTATTTGTAAATACAGTTGGCACTAACATACTATTTTATTATGCTTTTTAAAAATAAGTTTGAAAGAATGTTATATATTCAAAAGTATTTCAGTTTCTGTCCCCTGAATGCTTAGGAAATTTTTGATTATTTACCTCAGAGTTTTACTTGTATTTTTTTTAATTCACATGGGAAATTATACATGGTAAGTTTTATATTTCAAGCAGAAACCTCTCTGCCATGTAGTATAATAGGTAGTAGTTTCAGTTTATTCTTCCAGATGTTACTTTTCTCAGGGAAATTAGTTTAAACATAACAATTAGGGTGATGATCTGCTAAATCAAAAACTAAATTAAATGTGTGTGTGTGTATATATATCACACATATATATTTATATACATATATATTTTTAATTTGGGGGAACAGTTTTTGCTGAGTCAAAAAGTGGTATGGATAGAATATGTAGTTGGTTTGTTCTGTTTTGTTTTTAAGCTGAAACAGTTTACATAAAGGCTATAACATGGAACATTGTTACCTTGGATATTAATTGATATTTTAGTCCACTCAGTTTTTCTGGTCCTATGTGTGTAGGGAAGGGTGGGTGTATGTGCATATTGTTGGGTGTGTGTTACTGATGTTTTTAAACACTGTGAAAATCCAAGTTTTTTCTTTAAAAAATATTTTTGCTTTTATCAAGGAATGAAAATTCAAATATATAAATTTATGGTTATGAATATTAATCAGTACCTATAATCCTAAATGAATATTTTAATGCTCTTGATTCTGTTTTCCATATCTACAAAAAGGGCAGTATTAACTTATTCTAAAATCCCTTCAGGGATAAATATTTTCAATGCCTTTTCTGAATGACCATTGTACTGTGCATGAACAGAGAAGTAAATTTAATCTTAGCTCATTTGTTAAAGCTTTCATAGAAATGGAATGCATATTTTATACTAGTGTAGTGATAGGGCTTGGAAACCACATGCAAAGTCTAATAGGGAAGAAACAGTCATGATTAAGCAAGTATTAAAGGAGAATTAAATGAAAGTATTTGATGTGTGATATGAATCCTGTTAATGTGGAAAGTGTGCTTCTGTTTGACTGAATGATAGATCTGAGAAACCTAAATTCAAACACCCACTTCTTCCCTTATATGCCTACTCTTAGCAATTTGAAAAGACATTGACAAGTTTCTGACAATTTTCTCACAATCATACACTCCTGCCTTATATAACCTGTCCCAAAATAGCATGTATTAAGTCCAACGATGAAATACTTTCTGCTACCAATGATTGGCTTGTGATTTTGGCTTTGCTGCAGAATAACAGGATTTTCATATAACTCTATGGAGATAAAGCTTACCGGTTGATCAGCTAGACAATAGTATATGTCATAGGATTACATTATTAATACTTCAAACCTGATTTTAATTTCAGAGTTGAAAGGACTGTGTGTTACTTTTTTAATGCTATAATTATGGTAGTCACCAGAACTTCTTTTTCCATGGTCTTTAATTCAGAGATATTCTGTACATCTTTGTCCTTTGCTAATTTATAATATTTTGGGTACTCTTTTTGGGAGAAAAAATAAATTACATTTTTTTTTTCTGACCAAAATGGAAAGTTTTCAGACCTAAAGGACATGGAGAGTTGTAAATTAAGGTTCTGTTAGTCCTGTTAGTCTTCCTTTCCTGGTTTCTGTCTGATTCATTTATATGTGAGAAATAACATTATTTCCACTTCAAATCTAAGGGTTTTGGGGGAAGAAAGTAAAATGTTGACAGGAAAAATGTTGAAATTATGCTAAATAAAAATTATGTAACCATAGGCATAGGTCATCACCGTTAGATGCATTACTATAAATTTCTTCTTCGCAATTTCTAAGAAAATAACATGACTAAAACCTCAGAGCACAAATCTCATCTATAGCACTATTTGCAGCCCAAATGACCAGAGGGTAACTATATTTTCTGTGTTAATTTCTCCTTGCCCCAAGCTAGAATGTGAGTAATTGCAAAACCCAGTGTTAACAGTTGACTTTAGCAAACAAGGTAGCATGGCATCAGAAACAAGATAAAACAACATTCCCTTGGAACTTCTCATCACCTATCTTCATAACGTCCATAAACTTACCAGGAGATTATAGACATTACATTTATTCCATCAAATGTACTCCGGATGATCTCTAAGGTGTATTTATTTATTTTTCAACCTGCAAGCAAATAGATACCTTTTTTGGTTCTATTTGATATATGGCAGCACTGGCTACCTAATTCACAGCTTAAAAAGAACATGCAGGCCCTTTGTTCTTAAATGATTAAGGATTTAAAGACATCATCAGCAGAGCTTTTAACTAAGTATGGGGTCAGTATGACTGCACAGGTCACCTGGCCATGAAGCAAGCCTTGGAAAATGGATTGAATGTTAAACATCATTTGTCATTTAGGAGTTCTCTTTTAGACATAAGAAGTATGGCTATATGGTGGCGACATTATGTTACATGCATACCTATTACATTGTAATTTTTTGTGTGTGGTATTGTTTTAACATACGACCCTTCCAACTACAGTCGTTGCACACGTCTGGTTCTCATGCTGTGCAAGGGTGCTGCCTCTTGAAGGCTTGCTGAGGACATCCCCCACAAATTTCAAGAAGAGTCCCTTCCTCAATGACTCTTTATTTGCTGTCAGCACTGGAATTCTTTGATACTCCAGTAGCTTCCACCTTTACCATTTCACTGTTGTTGGCTCTTCTCCCTCTTTTTATAGCTTTCCTATATCTATACTACAGATACACAAGCAAAATAATACAGAGCTTAGGGACAAAATTTAGAAAGAAATAGAAACTCATTAGCAGATTTTTATCTTATGTGTAAAAGAAAACGGGCATTCACAAACTTTCATGATTTTAGTTTTATAAATATTTTTCCCCCAAGAGTTTTCTCATTTAATTAGTAACATAGCTTTTGCATAGCCAGGGCTGTGCATTCCCTCATATTTGATTTACTGCTGATAAATATCAGTAATAAGAGTACCATACTTGATTTTATTGCCTATTATATGAAATTCATTTATAATTTATATTCTAGTATTTAAACTATTATCATCAAAGGATATTTTTAAAAACAGAAGGCAAGCCTGAAATATTGTGCTCATTTCAGTTTCTAAGTTCCTTTGAAATTCAACTTTCAAGCATCCTATTTTTTTGAGTTGAAACTGCTTTGTTCAGGATGCGTTTCCTCATGCCTCACTGTCTACATTTGCATCAAAGGGTGTTTCTTGACCCCAATGTATATTCATCTCTGTAGTTCTACATATATGTAATATAAGACTTCACAATGTATTGCACTCATAATATTTTAAAAATCTAAACTGGTATATTTATTTTCACAGTGCAATTCAAGTCTCAAAGATACACACACCTAAGAATGTCTGTACATCCCATTTTCCATTCTATTTCTAATTTACTTTTAATGAACTTTGTATATTATAGGTTTTGAGTTTTCTCCTTTTTAATTTCAATATTTATCAATATTTTACATTACAGAATGAGTTGGGTTTATTGCAATTGGTGAATTACTCCGACAGGAGCCCTCCCCAGGAAAGAAGGTGGCAGTTAGGACTCAGAATAAATTTACAAAAGTGATCATTGTTATCCAGTCAGAATGTGCATGGGGGAGTACTCTCACCTATCGCATAATAGCTGATTATATTGCATGAAAATATTCAATTGTGTCTTCACTAGCAAAACATTATATTGGACATATTTTCCTGAATATGTACTTTATTTCTAAATTCCATGTAACAGAACCCTCATTTATATAATGAAAAACAGAATAAGGTAATCTTGGTAAGAAGCATCACTGAGATATTTTAAATACTCAGAATACATATTGACAGAAACTGAGTACATGAATACGTATTCAGTTCATTACCAGTTATATCTATTATTCTCATTCACTGGGAAATAATCACACAAAAATAATTATCTCTAAAGGAGTTACCAAGAAGGCTAACATGTTATCCAATTAGTTCTGTTAAAGGTAAAGCAAACAGCCACTACATGTATTTTAAATGACTTTATGCTGGTGCATGATTCTCCTGCTCATGTCTCAGTGGTGCTCCCTTCACTGGCTGCTCCATTTTGGTGATGGCCATACCAAATGGCTTTAGTTGATTCTTGGTCCTTATGAGGTAGGAGACCAGCAGGACTTATTTTCTGGTCAAAATCTTGCTTACTAAAACAGGATCTATTCCAGACAGGATGAAGTAGAGAAAATGGCAGGAACAAGCAGATGTTGACAAAAGCGATCCCTAGCTGCCCTCACTGGCATAAGACACTCCCCTCAGTGCCATGACAGTTAATAATTAACAGGGCAACAACTCAGAAGTTACTACTTCTTTCCATTGCAATGACCCAGAAGTTACTGCCCCCTTCCCTAGAAATTTCTAAATAATCTTCCCCTCAATTTTCATCGACCCACCCCTTAATTTGCATGTGATTGAAATTGAGTTTACGTAAGTATAAATACATTTGCCAAGAAACCATAGATTGCAGAGTCTGGGCATACTGCCTGTTAGTTAGCACTGCTCCACAAAGAGCAGTCCCATTTAATAAAACTTGTTATTCAAAACCACAGGATTGCCCTTGAGTTCCTTCTTGGGCAAAGCAGAGACCCTCCCAGGCTAAGCCCCAATTAGGGGCCTTGCTTGTTTGGTATCACTTACCTCTTGATATATATTAAGTAAATACAAGCTGTAAGGAAACCAATATCTTTAATGTCTAATTGTATGGTTTTAGAATTCGTAGAGTAGTTATAGACAATAAAGGCTGTAATGAAGAGAGGGGAGCATAAAGGGTTTGGGAGTTGGAAGTGCCGATGACCCAGGTCCTGGTTACTGAGAGAAGTAAACTTGTTACTTCCTCAGTTAACAAGATTCCTGAGAAAGGTGGTTCTGCAATATTGAGATTCCCCTTGGAATGGTAGTCCAGTCGAAGTGATATCCAAAAATGTTGATTTAGTTTTAGTGTGGAAAATCCTAAAGGATTGAGCCCTCACGGTGTGAATATCCCCAGCCTCTGTTATTAATATTTGGGTTCACGTGGTTGCCTAGATTCTTGAGGGTAATTTAAAGCTTGAATATGCAGAACCTATGCTCCATTGCTTCCCTAAAATGTGATACATTTCAGAAATGGCTCTTGTCTGTTACGTGGAGTACATATACCAAATTTTTAAGGAGATTCCATAGTAGCAGAATATGCTTTAAAAAAATCATTTGAGAATGATAGGATATTAGATTATCAGAATTTTTTTCCTATACTTAGAAGCAGTTTTTGAACAATAGCAATATAAGTTTATGTTTTACATGCACAATGCTTTTTGTGAACATGGATAATAAATAAATGAAAAGTTCTGAGTTATGGTGTCAGATGTTATAGCCATAGAAAAATTCTGATTCAGGCGGGGCACGGTGGCTCAAGCCTGTAACCCAGCACTTTGGGAGGCTGAGGCGGGTGGATCACGAGGTCAAGAGATCGAGACCATCCTGGTCAACATGTGAAACCCCGTCTCTACTAAAAATACAAAAAAAAAAAAAAAAAAAAAAACTGGGCGTGGTGGCGCGTGCCTGTAATCCCAGCTACTTAGGAGGCTGAGGCAGGAGAATTGCCTGAGCCCGGGAGGCGGAGGTTGTGGTGAGCCGAGATCGCGCCATTGAACTCCAGCCTGGGTAACAAGAGTGAAACTCCGTCTCAAAAAAAAAAAAAAAAAAAAAAAAAAGAAAAATTCTGATTCACAAAACCTAAAATAGGAGCCAGTGTCTTTTCCAAAGAACCCATAGATAGAATTTTTTTTTTTTTTTGCTAAGTCTGAGTGACATAAAATTATCGAATATTAAACTTATGTAATATTGTTATCATGCATGAAAATCTCACAGAGTTATATGTATCCAATTGGTCAAGACTAGACTTTACTAGTTCGATCATATGGTGGTAACAATTTTCTCTCTGCATGTGTATTCATATACACAATTATATAATACATGACAAAACACAAATGAAATCCAATGTATGAGAATACTTTTCCAAATTTAGACAGTTTTTACTTAAAAGTAAAAGCTAGCAAATGCCATACAAGTAGAAATCTATTATTAGTGAGTGTTCTTATTTCAAATCAACTTTTCCCAATTATGTTATTCTTGTCAAAAATATGTTCAATAGTTGAGGCATTTGGAAATTACCTTTCCTACCTGCATTGATTTGCAAACTTTGTGATGATTTCTGCCTTGGAAATGTGTTATTTATAGGCTCACTTATAAAGAGACAATTAGATGTGTGAAAAATAAGTGAGAAACTTTGACTACCAGTACTTCTATCTTTACAATGTTTTATTTCCTTTCAGAAATAATTCCACTAAGCAAACCCATGAGATGAGGCTACAGTGTTTCCTTTGTGGATTAGTTAAGTGGTTATAGACTGCTCTCCATCACAATAAATGAACAAAGATAACACACATATCGATATTAGAAGGAAAAATCAGAGATGAATAGAATTTTTTAAAACATAAAAATAAGTGGGACTTAACTAAAAATAACTCATTAATACTTTTCCATAAAAATGAAATACATTTTGGTCATATTCAAAATAAGCAATGCTCAATCTTTGAAAAATGAGTTTTAGGAATAATAGCAAATAATAACAAACAGAAAAACCAGAAAAGAAAAGATGGAGATATTTATGTTACAGAACTCTCAGACCAAGTTTGTTTATGTTTGATGACAGTATTAGGGAAGTCGATATTTGCTTTGTTTTAAACTAGAGTTTATAGAAATTTTGAAAAACAAACATGAAAAATCTATAAAATCATTTTGGCTCTAAGAAGAATATCTGTATATTAGATGCTTATAACCTGGACCTAATTTGTATGTGATTTTTTTCATTTTTATTATAATATTTCAAAGATCAATTTTAAAGTGTGTAGACAGACGTAAGGATTCATTGAAAGTGTTACTTAAAGTCAGCCTGGATTGCTGTGACAGTAACATCTAACTGCAGTTAATGTATTAGAATAAATGAATAAGTTAAAAATATAAGCAACCTGGACTACTCAAGTAAGTGTAATTTATATGCTTAAAATATGGATCTGTTGCTGATATATGTGTGTGTTTGTGTTTGAGAGCTTGTGTGCTCAGATTTAAACAAAAATATTGTTGCTAATGATAGTGGAAATACTATTTAACTTGAAAACTGATAATAGGTGGTTATACATTTTTATAAGTTGTTGAGATGGAAGAAGAAGACAAGTTCATTGCTGTGCACTGGCACAGGTGACTGTCCATTATTCTAGGTAAAAGGCCATTTTATTTATTTATAAACTGTTGTTTCATTGACCACTTTCCCTTGAAACCTAAAGATAATCCTTTTTATCCAGTATTGAGAAAATCAAGTTAATAATGTTTTCTCTGTTTTGTAACATTGTGTAAAACTATCGTATTTCTTTGATCTTTAATGCATAGTAAAATAATTTAAAGTAAACAAAACTACAGAAAGCAACAACTCAAGAATGATCTGCTACTTGTATCAGTATTCTTTGTTAGTGTAAATGCAGTGATTCATGATGCATTTTACTGGGATTTGAAATTTTACAGGAGTCATCAAGACTGCCCTTCCAAACATGGATAGAGAGGCTAAAGACCAGTATTTGCTTGTTATTCAGGCAAAAGATATGGTTGGTCAAAACGGAGGACTGTCAGGAACTACATCAGTCACTGTGACCCTAACTGATGTCAACGATAACCCACCTCGCTTTCCTCGAAGTAAGTTGTTTTCTTAAGGGATACAAGTGTGATAACTTTCCCTGAAAGTCATAAAACACAGCTATAATTTATTTCAAATATTTCTAAAGCAAAGAATTATCTTACTTCATTCTTCCAAATTTGCATTTTGTTAGAGACATGATTTTGATGTTCAGCAATATGGATTGTAATAGTATTGAGCAGAAGTAGAAGCCATCATATATTTGCATTACTACTATCTCAAATGTAGTAAGATTTTTTTCCTTCATCCACATCGTGAATACCAGACAATTATTAATTGTGTTTATGTATTAGTCTTTTTTCTAAGACTTTTTTTATATTTTGTAAATTATAAGGTTGTTGCCAGTTAATAATATTCAAATATGTTTTATTCATTCTTTGCACTAAAATACTGCTTTATTTTTGAAAATCAGAAAAGAGTAATAAATATTTTCATCTTTTCACTTCACACTTTTTTAAGCCAGTTCATTCACACTGAGTGTTCTTTTAGCAGCTCCCCACATCTTTCTTGTACAAACATTCAGTGTTTTAAAAATCAGTCTAAAGAACTGGAAATTTGTCTTTTGTTTCCCATTACTGTAGTATAGTTTTTATTAAAAAATAAAAATAAATTAAGCTAAGATGATGCCCAAATAACCCAGTAGTATAACTTTTTATTGGTTAGCTTGGTGTAATGTGTTCATTTCTTGTTTTGAATTTCACAGGGTCTTACCAATATAATGTCCCGGAATCATTGCCTGTAGCCTCAGTTGTTGCCAGAATTAAAGCTGCCGATGCAGACATTGGAGCTAATGCTGAAATGGAGTACAAAATTGTGGATGGTGATGGACTGGGCATTTTTAAGATCTCTGTTGACAAAGAGACACAGGAAGGAATCATTACTATACAGAAGGTAATGTTTTCTTTCTTTATCCTTTATCACAGATACTGAGAAGTCCTATCTGTTTTATGGGAGAATGTACTAGACAAACCGAATGGCCATATGGGACCATTACTGTTTTAAATTTAGTAAGATAAGCTATGCATTTATTTTTAGGTTTCAGAATCTTAGGGAACCCTGAGTTACATTTGTAATAACACTCATAAATTCTATCCTTTAAGAAACTCACAACCATTATCTACAACACTATAAAAATAAAGCACACTGGCAAATGTGCTGTTTTAAAGACCTGTTTGGAGAGATGAATATGTTTCTGCCTTGACTATTCCACTAATGAAACCCTAAAATCAACCAAAAGCCTGTGTATGCAAACAATGGACACTATTATTTTCTCCATAAATGGAAATAATATAATTTGAAGTAGAAACCAAAATGTTGAAGACTTTCTATAATACCAATTATTGCCTTTTAAAAAACTAATTGGAAGACTTGAATATTTCATACAAGAAGAGCATGAAAAGTTGTAAAACCTGTCATAATTTCTATGGAGAGAGTTCAAAAGAGGTTGAAAGTCAGTATAGCTGAAACTAAAGATTATTTTCCATAATGTATTTAAATTAGCTCTGAACATGGTTATGGGTGAAAATAAACTACTCTCTTTTCAATATAGAGATATGATTTTGACAAACATTTAATCAAAAATAATGACTCAAAGCTATTATTTCAGAATGTAGTCTTATCAGCTATTTGAAACATTCAAAATATATTAACATCTTGACCCCTAAGATATGAAATTTTTTGTCAGTATGAAAATCTGATGTATAACTTTGTAATTAATGCTTTCAATAATTAGCACATATCAATAAAAAAGTTGTATTTTAGTTGTTTAGGAAAACATATGTTTGATTTCGGGCCAATGAGAAAAAACATTTCTGCAGTTATTTCCACTGGAAAGCTGCTGTTTTAGCTCAGCTGATGACAGTCTGTGTACAAAAGGTTTAATGACTAGGATAGGCCAACTGTTGGTAAAATGTTTTGTTGTCTAAAATAAAATAATTTAGTAAGGTACACTGATGCTCAAAGATATCAAAGAGTCATCTGAAATCTATCTGTTCACATTCAAGAAATTTTAATGCAAACTGAAACTATTTTTATTCAATAAATATCTGTATTTTATATATTATAATGAAGATAGCATGATTTTTGAAAATTCCAAATTTGATACAACATACTTAATTTACTGAAGGAAATATAAAACTCTTAGTCCCTAATTTCTAGAAAGTTTGGAAAATTGTTAGGAAAGAAAACATACAAAACCCAGATTAAATATTATGTCATTTAAAAGCATAAAACCCATGAAAAAATTGTAAGTTGAAATTTGATTCTAACTTACAATAATATAAAACCACAAAAATAATTGTTATTATTCTTATAGGTAACAGTTAATATCTGTCAGGATTTTTTTTGAGCAATTTAAAGGCTTTATTTTATTTTCTCAACAATCTCATGAAATGACTATTAGGACACTGAAAATATAGAAACATAAAATATTGAACAATGAAATAGATGGTAAATAATTTGTGATACTGTCATATCAATGATGGAAATTTTGGCCATCATTGAAGTAATGTTGTGATGTTGTTTTTGCAAATGAATATGGAAAATTTTTATTTAAAAATTATTAAAAGTTAATATCCAAACTTTTACAAAGTCTTTCACATTTTATGAAAGTTATGTTTATACAGAATAAAAGATTACAAGAAAAATGTTAAAATATTGATAGTATCATTTCTAGACTGATTTTTCAATAATATTCACTAATTATTGTTATAATTAAAATGTTGTTAAATATATACAAGAGTTATTCAAAGGCCAAATTGATATGTCTCATTAAAATCACTTTATAGTCTACTTTGACTATTATTAGAGATGAATATTCTTTTACAAATGCAGAAATAAGTCACAGATGTTATTCAATGGGCTCAAATTTTGTGTATTGCTGAAATTCTCTTAGGTATTAAAAAACATAATCCTCTATTTAATAAATTAAGATTAAAAACCATTTCAAATTTTTAAGCATTCAGATTAATAGAATTTTTGGTTTTGATATTACAGATTCCTTACTTTTGCCCATCAATCTGAATGATGCTTTGCACCTAATGAAAGTCAATAATTGGTTATTATTAAATATTTATTCATCAGCCACTATATGAGAAGTTAGCTAAATATTTTAACAATTTCTTTCACTAAATCTGAGATCAAAACACCATTATTTTTAGTTGAGATTGTTAGCAACTAAAAATAAATTTTATTTTCTTAAATGGCTTCTAATACATAAATTCTTATCTAATTATCTGTTTTCTTTGATAACATCAAAGTTTATTTAGGAATAATTAAGCATACACACAATGTCCAGAAGAATCTTAAGATACAAGAGTGTTGAAAAATTTAATAATATTACTTCTGTGCCATAAATAGTCAATATAAATTTTAATATTTAACAAAACAATTCTTGTTCATCCTGTATTACTATGGAGAACCAAAATGACTAGCTATCAAAGGTCAAAAAAATTACATTTAGTTTAAATCCAGAGATTTTAAATACAACACTAGACAGTTCAGATGTTGAATGCCAGCACGATTTCCTATGTCATTTTGAGCCGAAACACACTATTTGTAAGAACAATAATTTAGACTAAGAAGTTAGTCATGGTTTATTACTTTTAAAGGGCGTTGCACAAACTTGCTTTCAGTTTTCTGACTTACAAAAGAGATCTGATTTTTAAGTTTTATCTTAACGTGGAAAATATATATACCATATTGAGGCAGAACCATTCAATTCTAAAACTAAAATAATGTATAGCAGCAAATGCCAGGAACCTAACCAGTATGGTCTGCAATTTTTATGTTCATTAATTCATCATGATAGGATGCATGTGTGTTGAGACAAGATATCTGAAACTTTGCTGTTTGAAATAGATAAAATTTGTATAAAAATAACTGGTGCTATTATGCAGTACAGAGAATATCAACATGGAAATAAATGAAAACAAAATCTCAGTTTTCTCCATGCTAAAAATCTTTAGGCTTAGCAAGCATTACTTCTTACTTTCTTCCTACTCCTTTTCTTCCTCATGTGGTTCTGAGTAGATACTAGATAGTGGGGAAATTAACTCGTATACATGAGCTTAATTTTTATTTCCAAAGCTCCTGCCATCTCCAAACTAATTTTTAAAAATATTGCAGTTTTTCATTATCTGTTAATATGTTCCAGTGTCCAAAGAATCCTACTTTCTCATCTGTATTGGAATAAACAAATGTAAATAAATAATTCCTGTAAGAGTTGACTAAAAATAGTGGGAATGATACCTTTGCGTTTTATGGCAGTTTAAGCTTACTAGTTATAAAGATTTTGTTTTTACTTGCAAAAATTGTTCATAGTGTTATACAGTCGATTCTTAAACAACATAGGTTTTAACTGAGTGAGTCCATTTATAGATGGAATTTTTCCATAAATATATTACATTTGGGAAATTTGTGACAATTTGAGAATATTGACCAATGACTTATGTAGCCTAGAGATCTTGAAAAATTTGACAAAAAGTAGTTATGTAATGAGTCCCTAAAATATATGAAGATAATGTCTATTTATGTGTTAATAGACTAATTGTGTTATCAGTTATCCTACTCAACAGTAGGATATTAATAGTTAAAGTTTTGAGCCATCCACAGTTATACAAACATTTCTGGCTGTGTCGGGGCTGGTTCTCCTAACTCCTACGTTTTTCAGGGGTCAATTGTATATTCATCTAGTTTTTAGATGAAAAATTACCATTAATTCATGACTTTCTCATTCTCAGCAATTATTTCATTAATTCATTGAAATACGTAATTCACAGTTTATGTGTAGCTTCTATGCTTCTCACCCTGTACTCGGTTCCAGAATAATCCAGGGTTTGTCTTGTTATCCTCAAACATTGCTCATATTCTGACTCTTTCTATGAACTGCAAAGAACTATTGGATGCTGAGAATTGAGATCCCTTAAACTTGCTTTCAGTTTTCTAATGTGCAAAATAGATCTGATTTTTAAGTTTTATCTTAATATGGAGAATACCACTCTGAGATAGAACCATTAGAAAATAATAATGCATAACAACAGAAGGCATGAACCTCAGCAGTATGAACTGTAAAATTTTTATGATCATTAACTCACAATAATAGGATACATGTGTATTAAGACGAGATATCTGAAACTTTGCTGTTTGAAAGGGCTAAAATTAAAAAAAAAAAACCTACGGTGCTTCAGACTCATATTTGCAGGTACATATTTTACTATTCCTCAGTTCCACTCAACAATCTAGAATAGTCACTAAACTACTTGTGATTCCTGAAAAGCAATGCAGTTTTTTCCAGTTCTTCAAACCTCCTGCCTGTTGACTACCCTGTGCTCTGCTTTCTACCCTGTACCATAACTCAGCTTTTGAGTCTAAAAAATCACTCATATTTTGTCTTCAAACTAAATAGTAAACAGAAGCAGCACAGGCCCTGTACCAACAAGATGTGTGTGTGTGTGTGTGTGTGTGTGTGTGTGTGTGTGTGTGTGTGTATTTTTTTTTTTGTATTTTTTTTTCAAGGAAGGGTGTATGTGTGTGTGTGTGTGTGTGTCCCTTCAGTCATGGGAACTAGTCTAATCACGGAATGTAGATGTCCCAGTTTCAAAAATACTGTGATTTTTTTCATAGACTTAGCTGTGGCCACAAGGATTGAATAAATATCCAAGGCTTTGTAGAAGTGTCCAAGAGAACTCAGACCCCATCTGTCAGCCAACTGGTCAGTCCTACCAGGGCTTTCAAGGATTTGGACATACCCTGGGGAAGAAATTGAATAGTGGATGCATAAAACTGTTTTTCTCGGGTACAGGTGGTGACCTCTGTGTGGCTTTCCCTTGTCTACCCGAGGAAAACAGTTGATCTCACTGATGAGATAACCTGTTAAATGCAGAAAGAAGAAC